CTCTTCCCTCCTCTTCCCCCTTGCAGATTCCCTATCGGCTGAAAGAGACGGACAACGAGTTCGACAGCTTCAGCCAAGTCCCCGAGTCCCCGATCGGGCGGGAAGAGGAGCCGCACCTCTACATGGTGGCCAAGAAGTACCGGAAGGTAGCGGCCTCCGGGGCACGGTGGGGGGGTTTGTCGGGGACAAAGGACCCACCTGGGCCCAAGCCCCTGCCCGCGCCTCCGTGGGGGGCACCGGGGTGTTTCGCCAGCGTCCTGCAGTCCCGGAAGGCATCTGTTGAACGCCCCGCGTCTCTGCTCAGGTCACCATCAAATACTCCAAGCTGGGGCTGGAGGATTTTGACTTCAAGCATTACAACAAGACACTGTTTGCGGGGCTGGAGCCCCACATCCCTAACGCCTACTGCAACTGCATGATCCAGGTGGGGTCCCCCAGCCCTGCCCGGACCAGCGTTGCCCCCAGGACCCCCCTGACGGCTCTGTCTCTGCCAGGTGCTGTATTTCCTGGAGCCAGTGCGCTGCCTGGTCCAGAACCACCTGTGCCAGAAGGAGTTCTGCCTCGGCTGTGAGCTGGGTTTGCTCTTCCACATGCTGGACCTGTCCCGAGGAGACCCCTGCCAGGTCCGTGGTGAGCCCAGGGGGGATGTGGGCGGCCCGGGAGGGTCAGAGAGATCGCAGAGGAGCAGGAGCCGGGTGGTGCCGGGTTCTCGGGTGATGGCATCAGACGGCGTGGAAACTCCTGTCACTTGACCTCGGTGACATGCCGCTCTTGCCCCATCCCCAGGGAAGCAACTTTTTGCGGGCTTTCCGCACAATCCCAGAGGCTTCGGCGCTGGGGCTGATCCTGGCTGACTCGGACGAAGCCACGGGGAAGGTGAACCTGGGGCGGCTGATTCAGAGCTGGAACCGTTTCATCCTTACTCAGCTGCACCAGGAAACCCAGGAGCAGGAGGGACCGCAGGCGTACCGGGGGGCTGGCAGCAGGTAAATCCCCAGCCTGGGGACAGGACAGGGAGTGACCCAACCAGGGAGGGGGGCTGCCTCCCAGAAGCCCCATCCATCGCTTTGGAAAGAGCTTTCTCGCCACCCACGTCTGCCCTGAGGGCTGCATGGGGACATCGGCGCTGCCAGCTGCCCGTACGGCAGCGTCTGAACCCTGCGCTGAACCTCTGTCCCTGGCCTGGCACCGGCTCGGGAATCCCGATGCCGCGTTCCCCAAGAGCTGCTGGAATTCGGGCGCTGGTCCTGAGTGGCCCTTGTGCAGCCCAGAATGTGGGGGTCCCCACGTGGGGGTCCCCGTTGCTCAGCCCAGCTCCGCAGGGACTGCCAGGATCCCGCTCACCCTGCTGCTTCTTTTCTCTCCAGCAGCTTTGGCTCCTCAGGGGACTCGGTTATCGGGCAGCTGTTCAGCTGCGAGATGGAGAACTGCAGCATGTGTCGCTGCGGCAAAGAAACCGTCCGCGTGTCCTCCACGCTGCTCTTCACCCTCTCCTACCCCGAGAGCACCGGTAAGGGGCAGGGCCTGGGGCAGTTATCGTGGCTGGTTTCCACGGCCGGGGGGGGTTTGCTGTCCCTGTGGACGAGCCGTGACTTCTCCAGGTGACAGACACCTGCAAGCGAGGAGCTGCTGCAGTGGCCGGGCGGCGGCGGAGCCAGCAGCCGAGGTCTCATGGTGGGTTTCCAACCAGCCAAGCTTTTGGCTGCAGAAAGGCAGATTTGGGGGTTGACCTTCTCCGCGGTGGTTGTGAGGAAAACCCCAGAGGTTTGGCTGAGCTAAATTGGTAAAGATTTGTGTGTCGGGAGGTGACGTTATTCTCCTTTCTCCCTTCAGAAAAGCCGGTCAAGGATTATGAGTTCGCCCAGATTTTAAAGCGAAGCATCTGCTTGGAGCAGAACACGCAAGCCTGGTGTGAGAACTGCGAGAAATACCAGCCCACGGTGAGCCTGGGAGCGGGGCGTGAGCTCGTCACGCTCGGCGGGCTCGAGGGGGTGCGGGAGAAGGACGCCAGTGCCCCGTGCTGCTGGCTGAGCCGGGGCAGTTTCTCCATTAGTCAGTGGGAAACCTCCTGAGCGGATGCTGGAGATTCGGTTCCTGGCCCAGACGGGGAGCCGGCACGCCGCCGGGTATTTCCTGGGCTGCGTGAGCGCTGGAACGCGGATCCCAGCTGAATCCCCCCGGGGTGGGGGGCAGAGGGAAACCCCCCGGAGCTGAGCACCCTCTGCGAGGCGGCAGCCTGCTCCTGGCCTCGGCTGCTCGTGCAGGACCCCGGCCAGGCCGGGGGCTCCGGGGGCTGGAGCATCTGCAGGCAAAGGCGCTGGAGGAGGGGAGAGGGCATCACATGCCAGACCCGGTCCTGAGCCTCTCCAGGGCTCTCGGTGCTGCCCGACTCCCATCTCGAGCTCTCTCCGCAGGTGCAGACCCGGAACATCCGCTGCCTGCCGGACGTCCTGGTCATTAACTGTGAGGTGAACAGCTGCAAGGAGGCAGATTTCTGGAAGACGCAGGCTGAGGTGGGGACGACACTTGGGGGCAGAAGCAGGCTTGTTCTCCCCGGCCCGCGGGGTTCGCTGCGTGCCCAGCTCTGCGGAGGTGTTTTCACTCTGGTCTCGCTGTCTCTAAGTCTCTCGCTCTCCGCCCGAGCGTCACCCTGGTTTGTTTGCAGAGGACACGTTGGGATTTGGTCATGCCTGTAGCATGAGCCATGCGTTTGGAGTTGGAAAAGATGAGATCTCCTGCCAGGACAGAGCTGACGGGACTGCGCTAGAGTCTCTCTTTCCTTCCCCCAGCCCCCAGGACCTAGGAGCAGCAAGGCAGTGCGCGCTTCCCCGGCCACCAGCCCAGAAGAGCGGGCGGATGGTTGGGTGTCCCTCGCTGTCTTTTCCCCTGTCACCGACTCTAACGTCCCTGTCTTTTCCCCACTTCTGGCCTGGCTGTCACCCACGCGTCCCCAAGCCCAGCCTGGTGCTCCGCGCTGACGCTTGCCTGTGTTTCGTTGCCAGTATGCCTTTCAGAGAGCCGTGATGAAGAGAGGGGGCTTTGAGATCGCCAGAGGAAAGGAAATCTCTCTTGGAGAGTGGTAGGTGACTGTTCCTGGGGCGGTGGCTCTGAGCAGTGCCGCCACCTGGGTTGTTCTCTGGAGAGCTGGGGGCATTTCTCATCTGATAACGATAATTTGATCATCTCCCTGTGGGCTCTGCGCTGGCACAGCCTCGTTGCTGCTCTGTGGCCCCGTACGGGTGCTCTGCGCAGCGTCACCCTCAGACACCCGCGTGATCCCCCCGTGATCCGCTTCTGAGCCCCAGCCCTCGCTCCCCTCCCTTTGCAGAGTGACAAAAGGCCCCGGACCGCGCGTCGGCCCTTTCTGCTGCCGTTCGCTGACCCCTTTCCCAGGGCCCTGCTCGGGGCAGCTGCCGGGCTGCAGCTCTGGCTCTTGCTGTCTGTCCTGCGTAAGGTTTCCCAACGGGCTGGCGGGTCGTGGGGCGGTGGTGTCCCGCCCTGGACAGCGTCTTGCGACTCCATCCGACCCGGTCTCCCGTGGTTCTCTGTGCAGGAAGGAGCTGGGGAACCCTGACGTGGGGCATTTGTATCCTTCCGTGGAGGAACTGAAGAACATTTGGATCCCCCATGCCATCAAGATGCGGCTGACCAAGAGCAAGGAGCTGGACGTCTGGAACTGGAGCGAGAATGAGGAGGTAAAGGCAGAGGAGATCCCTCTGGGGCCGCGCGGTCGGGCGCCCGTGGGGCTGCGGGAGCAGAACTGCTCCAGAACCGCTTTCTGCTGAGCGTGTGTGGGCGAGAGATAACGCGGCTGTCTCGGGAACGCCTTGGGTGAGCGTGGAGACCTCTGGGCTGGTAGGGAGGCAGCACGTCCGAGCACTGGGGTTGGGCTGGAGGCCGGGGAGCCGCCTGGCAGACAGCCGGAGGCTCAGATATTTCCCCCGGGGCCGGTTCCTCCTGCAGCTGGGCCCGA